TAAAAAGAGCTCGTTCTTGCAACACCATTGGAGGTGGCAGTTTGGTTGACATCATCTTCAGCTATTTTGTCGGACCATACGCCAAGGAGGGACAATTTTGGTTTTTGGGGGCCTTGAACTGACCCAAAGCTAAGTACAATCCGGACCCCCCCTCAACCAGGGTTTTATAATAAACCCATTCATTTGGGGTTAATGGATGGGGACTTACTGGTTTTGAAGTACTTCCTGTTCGTCTGTGTCCTTCTCTCTTTCCGGGTCATATTCCCAGCTTGTTGATTATTTATAACGTTGCACCCATATAAACAATACTATTCTTAGTAGTATATTTTTTATGTTTGCACCCACTGTGCGGTTGCGATTGTTCATTTTCGTTTAGAACGTTTGAGGAGTCAGCCACTTCGGTTGGTTACCCAATTTATGGTCCCCTTAATGACTTAGTAATCTACAGATGTTTATTTCTTTAGAATGAGTTTATTTTGCTTAGTGTTTATCCGAACTTAACTGATCAATGGCTTCATATGTGTGCCCTTGTGTTTATAATTGTTTTACTACACTTACGTGCAAAATAATCGATCCACACAAATTTTCGATGAATTTCAATCGCAAATAACTTTTTTATTTGATGTCGGATTTAAACGAATATTAAAGAATATTGTAGATAAATTAATGGACAATCGCTCACATTTTAAAAAAATACTAAAAAATAGACGTACGTTTACAATATACAGGTTTAAACAAAAAGATGTTTTTTACCTTAAGTTTAAGACACTCTGTAGAGTGGCAAAACCGTATATTGTTCTAAATTAAGTTATAAGTATTTATCAAGCCACATCTATTCTTAACAGTTTTGTTTTTGATTCACCTCGATATATTTATTTTTGTGGAAAATATGGATTTTTTTAAAAAACATTGCAATTTCCAATATTTTTCTGTATGACGAACTAAGGTTGCTATGGTCCATCCATAGGCTATGGAGAATGACAGTGACAGTTTTCTTGAATCATCCCATACTTGGACATGTCATACACGGCTTTCAAAAGCTATCAAATTGTTTTTTGCAAATTAATGTTTAAATTTTGAGGTACCTTAAATACAGGTGACTTTGCACCATTTATGAAAAATCTTTTCGCGCTTGATAAAATTAACATTTATAATTTGTTGGTCTAAACCTGTCAATTGAGCGATTCTATTGAGTTTATATTACAGGAAAATCAGTGTTTTAAAGAAAGAAATGGGATTTATTACACTTTAAAATTGTATATATCGTATCAGTGCAAAACTCTTAGAAATACACGCCTTACAATTTCTATATTATGCGCAATCCATTGGAATGATGATCCTTGGTTAACTACAGGTCGATTTTTTATTTTTTTTATTGGTAATCCCTTGCAATAGATATATGTCGCTGCTAACACGTGTCTAATAAAAATAAAATATAATATTACATTCATTTTATACTGAAAAAACACTGTGAGACAAAGTAACCCGCAACCAGGGGGTAACTTTGCACACCCAGTTTTTAATGTTTATTTTTGAAACTCAGGCCTATGTAATATTATAACATAGTTATTATGAAAGAGCAACTCAAGACTCAAATTTTGGTATACAAAATTTAATGTTTATGATTGTTAAAACCACAAAAATTTTAAGCTGAAGTTTGAAAGTGAGCCAAAGCCACCCGTGTTTACGGTATCTTCTTACTTTATAAAATGGATATGTCTCCGACTGATGTTGCCAGAGCTATTAATTTAATCCAGGATGGACGGTCACAGTATTACGTGGCAAGTGTTTTAAACATCGTAAGAAGTAAAGTACAAAGGGCAACATCAGTCGAAGACATTTTTAAAAGTAAGAAGACACCTCAGGGTAAGCCAAAAATCGTTTATTTTTAATAAAGCATAACACGCAAAAAAGATTTATCCTCATTTTTTTTAGATATTTATACGTTTATCAGGTTACAAAATGGCATTCTTATTAACCTTTTATAAAAAAATATATTTTTAATAAAATTAAATAAAATAACGCTTAGAGAATATTAAAAATGTTGTTTAATTTAGGCTTTTTAGTAGTTTCAATTTTGAACGAAAAACTGGTTAAAGTTTTTTGATCGGCACTCTTTGGAGATTTAAAATCGATAATTACCAAATTTCTGTTTTTTTTTTAAATTTGTTAAAAAATAATTTTTTTTTAAATTATTTGTTTATCGCAAAGTCTACCTTTGCCAGAGAACACATTTGTACACCGATTTTTATTGATTGCAGTTTCTTGTTCGGGACCCTTTGGTTACTTTAAAATGATATTTACCAAAATCCTAGATGCTAATATTTACGAAATTTTTTGAAAATTCTTAATTTTTTTAAATTTTTGTTTATCTTACCTTTGACAAAGTACACATTTGTACACCGATTTTTATAATATTGGAGTATATTGTTAACGAGACTTGGAGAATACTGTTTTCATACTGAGCACATCATTAGATTTATACAGCGTTAGCCAAAAATCACTTTTTTATTTAGTAAAAAGCATAATGCACAAAAAAGATTTATCTCCAAAAAATGATATTTTATTTAATTTTATTCAAAATCAATTTTTCTTATAAAGTTTTAATGAGAATCCCATTTTGTAGCCTGATAAACATAAAAATATCTAAAAAAACATGGGTGGGTATATCTTTTTTGCGTGTTATGCCAAAATCATGAAGTTGTGCATTTGCTTTATTAAAAGAAGCGATGTTTGGCTAACCCTGTATATTAAATAATGTGGACAGTATAACAAGTTTTCTCCAAATCTCCTTAACAACATACTCCAATATTATCGGTGTACAAATGTGTACTCTGTCAAGGGTAGACTTTAAGATAAACAAAATCATGAATTTTCAAAAAATTTAGAAAAGAGGAGCAGTTGGGTTTTTGGTAAATATCATTTTTAAGTCACCAAACGGTCCCGAACAAGAAACTGCAATCAGTTTTTGGCGGCATTTTTATGTGACTTAAACTTCGTTCAGGCACACCGTGTGTGGAAATTATTCGTTAAAACTGATCAACTCATTTACACCTTTATCCACAGGTAAAACACTTAATTCAGGGGCAGGTACCACACGCAATTTGTATTCTTTTTGCACTTGGATCTGGTATATCACATGTAGAATCGTTATTAATTTTTTGATTTGATTAACTTTAGCGGTTATCGCACTATGGAGTACGAGCGCGTTAGGCGAGATCTTACCCAAGCGACCGTTCGCCTCAAGGTGCAGAGCGTCACTGGCATCATCTTCAGCTACTGATGTAACATAAATTCAAAGCTTTCAATACACGTTTCCAAGGTATTAAATTAAAAATTTTTAATTGTTGTTACAATTATTAAAATTATAACCATGATTTATATGAGTTTTGAGCCACCTTGTAAAAAATTTAGAAAAAACATTTAACAATATCGATTGTTATATTAATTAAATATAGAGCAATTTTAGTGCAATTAACAATATAATGTGTCCATTGTTATTTTAATTAAATATAGAGCAATTTTAGTACCCCTGCCCACCCAACTTATCCCTTATCTATGGTCCATAACTAAACAGGTTGAAAATCATTTAACACACGATCACCCAGCCGTTTCTTCCGCTATTCAACTTTATTTCGTTAAACATTAATAACCAATCTGAATTGCACGATATTGATTTATTACATACGAAGGCGTAGAAGGGCCAGCAAAAATTTTACAAGTTTTAGCCAAAACTTACTTTGATTTTTGCAATTTCTATTCTTTAATTGTAACTTGAACTTACAATTGTAGGGTCAAGTTACAATTGTAACTTGAACCTATAATAAATATTTTACCTATTAATCTTCTAAATGTCTTACACTTTGAAGAATGCCATCTAAAGGATATATAGCTTCAGTAATAATAGCGACAAATCTGTTACAGGCGAAATAGCCTCGTAAATAATAAAATGACCTTCAAAAATACTTCACCACGTTTTTAAGGTAGTTAACTCTTTTATTTTTGAAACCTACAGATCTAAAAAAACAAGATAATAATATATTAAAAAACGTTACATAACACTCCAAAATCCAGAATTGACGCTCAGTATAAAGTTATTTTTAAAATTTTGCCTTCAAGAATGTGTTCCGCTTCAACTTGTTATTTAATTATTAACACTGTTACATTTATTTCTTCATATTTATAAGCTAATCTATCTTTGGATTCATACCTAAATATACTTAAAAATCGATTGTTAATAAAGTTTAAAAAAAAATTAAAAATGTAAGCATATTAAGTTAAAATACAATATGTACAAGGTTTTCTTTAAAACAGGGATCAAAAATGTAATAAAAGAAACCCCCTAAAGCATTAAAAAATATTTACATTGTTTTTATAGTATAAAGTTGTCTACTGTTAAGTTTTTTTTAAATTAATTAATAGAATAGAATTCACTTGATAAAATAAAATATTCAAATACTGGTTACTGAAACTTTGCTCAAAGCAAATGTTTATTTTAATATTATGTACATATATTACCTTAGATAAATTTATACATTTAATTTAAAAAAAAATACGCTAATATTACAAATTAGCGATATTTTACAATATTATATAAAACTTCTTTAATATTTTTTTAATTGCCTTATTTTCATATAAATTTAAAACTTGTTTTTATTAAAATTTGCCCTCAATCCATATAATTTATTCCAAATAAGACGAAAAAAAAACAAACATGGTTAATAGGGAATATTCAAACAATTAGCCAAATTTATCAGTCCATAAAAACGGTAAAATTCGTGGTTAAAAATACGATTAGGGAATTAGTAATGCAATAATTATTAAAATTCAATGAATAATTCGTAAAGCTGGCTATAAAAGTAATATTAACTAGTTAACGTCCAAATTTATGTGAGTAAAAATCAAGTTAAAAATTAACGATAAACAATAGAACATGTTGCAAGGACAATTACCCAAGCAGCAACAACAACAAATGCAAACAAAACATTGAAAATATTTACCGACTTTCGTCGAATTCGTCGCTGGACATACGAAAAAACTTGACCAAATTGGCAAACATATCGGTTTCTGGCAGCTCGACGCGCAACATTTTCGGTCGCTCCATATTCAACAAGTGCAGCGTGCTAGCGAAGGCGGATCATTTGAGAGTGTCAAACCGAGTAACCGAGTGAGCAGTAAGCGAGAAGAGTGGCGTCGACTAGTTGAGCACGCTCGACATACTACCAAACTTCAAACCATATCACCTACAGAGTAGGAACAATCTGTCTACCCCAACTATTTAACAAAATTCGATAGTTAATACGTTGCTTGAAAAAACTTCAATCAACTCGGTCTTATATATATATATATATATATATATATATATACAGGGTGTCCGGAAAAAGGAGGTCAATCTGTTAACCATGTATTCCTTGAATTAAAACAATAAGACTTTCATAATACCATTTTTCAATTTAGAGCTTCATGTTCGATATACAGGGCGACAAAGTTTGAAATTTAAAACTGATTTTTTTAAATAATTCGAGTAATTGATAAGATATTAAGTTCAAATTCGGTACACTACTTCAACATAAATAGTTACATTTTTTGAGACCAACAAAACAAAAAACAATTGTCAAATAATAAAAATTGGGGGGGTCCAGTACTCACTGACTCCCCCTATTTTTTAGTACGTGCGCCAATGACTTTCAAACGATATTTTTTCAGGTAATCATTTATTGTTAAAAAAAATTTGTCTCTTTTAAAATTTTGATAAAATGATTTGTTTTAGAGATAATTTGTAAAGTATGGGTCAGTCCATATCAAATCAAACAAAGGTTCTTCTCCAACCATCTCCGATTTTGATAATTTTTGGTAAATTTGTTTACCTTACTAAAAAACCCAAAAATCCCATATATGAATTTTTTTCGATAGGTGGTTTTTGTTTTATTGATTTTTGAAAATGAAAAAATTTCGATAAATTTGGGTCTTGCAAGTACTTACAAAAATAGCGATATCTCGTAAACTATTAAAAGTAGAAAGGTGAGTGATGGCTTATTTTAAAGGCCTATTAGAGAATTTTTTATGATATATCACATGACATAAATTTTTTCAAAAAAAAAATTAAATTTCGAAAATTTGATATGGACTGACCCATACTTTACAAATTATCTCTAAAACAAATCATTTTATCAAAATTTTATAAGAGACAAAAAATTTTCAACAATAAATGATTACCTGAAAAAATACCCTTTGAAAGTCATTGGCGCACGTACTAAAAAATAGGGGGAGTCAGTGAGTACTGGACCCCCCTATTTTGATTATTTGACAATAATTATTGTTTTTTGTTTTGTTGGTCTCAAAAAATGTAACTATTTATGTTGAAGTAGTGTACCGAATTTAAAGTTAATATCTTATCAATTACTCGAATTATTAAAAAAAATCAGTTTTAAATTTCAAACTTTGTCGCCCTGTATATCGAACATGAAGCTCGAAATTGAAAAATGGTATTATGAAAGTCTTATTGTTTTAACTCAAGGAATATATGGTTAACGGATTGACCTCCTTTTCCCGGACACCCTGTATATACAGGGTGTTTCATAATATATGCGCAGGACTTCAGGATGTGATAGCTCATCCAAAAAGATGAAAAAAGTTGCTATTAACTTACCCTCTAAAATGCACAATTTTCGAGATACAGGGTGTTAAAATTTTAGAAAAAAAATCGTTTTTTTCGATTATCTCTGGAACCGTTTGTCGTACAAAAAACAGCTTTTGTAAGCATTTTATACTCATAATAAGCTATGTTTTGTGCCAGAAAAAAAATTTTTTTACTCATAATTGAGGAGATTTTGAAGGGGTAGCGGGTGTTTTTCTCCTCAACTTTAACGCCCCTGAAAAAAGTACGGTTTTGAGAGGCCCATTCGAACCGCCAATGTTTTCTACACAAAAAAGGTACTCTTGGTCATAAGCTCTAAAGTTGACCGTTTTCGAGAAAAATCAACTTTTATGTTTAAAAACATGTTCAATTAAAAAAAAAAAATTTATTACTAATTAAACAAAATTTATTTTAACGTTAGAAAAAGTAACAAAACCAAACGATAATTGCAAAATTAAAAAAAAAATAAAAAATGATTTTTTACACAAATGCTGAAATGTTCGAAATGCGTTACCTTTACGGTTTGGAGAATTTAGCAAAGACAACTTTTGAATCATTTTTTATTTTGCAATTATGGTTTGGTTTTGTTACTTGTTCTAACGTTAAAATAAATTTTGTTTAATTAGTAAAAAAAAATTTTTTTTTTTTAAATTGACCATGTTTTTAAACATAAAAGTTGATTTTTCTCGAAAACGGTCAACTTTAGAGCTTATGACCAAGAACATTGGCGGTTCGAATAGGCCTCTCAAAACCGTACATTTTTCAGGGGCCTAGAAGTTGAGGAGAAAAACACCCGTCACAAAACATAGCTTATTTTGAGTAGAAAATGCTTACAAAATCTGTTTTTTGTACGATAAACGGTTCCGGAGATATTCGAAAAAAACGAATTTTTTTCTAAAATTTCAACACCCTGTATCTCGAAAATTGTGCATTTTAGAGCGTAAGTTAATAGCGACTTTTTTCATCTTTTTGGATGAGTTATCACATCCTGAAGTCCTGCGCATATATTATGAAACACCCTGTATATTAGGGTGCTTCAAAAAATAAAATTTAATTTTTTTTTCTCTCTTACCCTCTCAAATGTTTCTATTTAATATAAAAAAAATCCTCACTAAATATGGGCGTTCCAGCTCAACCCTAAGAGGTCGCTGTTTTTATTTTAGTTTCCCATTTAATTAACATGGAAAAAAATAATTTTATGTTTGGAATTTTATACCTTTGTATCAAAGTAACTTATGGCAATGATCATTGCAGTTTCTTATATAAAATGTAACGCTCTACAAAAAAGGTCTCTAATTATTTTTCGATAAATTGATTTCTTCCAGAGTTATTCGAGGTCAAAGTTTAATTAACATGAAATTTTCTGTTTTTTTTAATTTTATGGTACAATTAGGAGACGGGAGGTGAAAGGGGGCAAAAATTCAGCGGGGGGGGGGGGCAAAATGGGGTACCCAAAAAATTTCGTAAAAAAAATTTTTTTTAGATTGTTTTTTTCGTTTTCTAAATTATTTGAAAATTGACTCTCAAGTTCACGCTTTTAATCGAAAATAATTATTCTGAGCCTGTAGAGCGTAAAAAAGGATGGTACAATTTTGGAAAACTTTTCATATGCTCATTTTTTGGGGTACATAAAATGTTAGCGAAACCTTTGTTAATGTTTCTTTTAATACAGTTGTAAAACTTAAAAACAGTTTTGGTTTTTATTGCTATACTAGAAATAACTAAAAAATATTTTAAACTTTTATACACAATTTACTAATTAATTATTATTTATTTATTTATTTATTGGTAAGTTAAAAATATTTTTTCTACCCCCACCTTTAAAACGCCCATTATCGTTCATGTTTCCATGACACTAAGTGACCTTTTAAATACACATTGGGAAGTTGTGGCTTTATGGCGCTTTAGTCACGGGCTGAAGTTAGCAACAGGTTTTTAGTCACGGGGTGAAGTTAGTTTTAAGTTAGTTGACAGTTGTTAAATGTCATACAATCGTTAAAGTGCCTTTATTGTAAAATAATACTAAATTTGAAAATTGTTTTATTATTTTAATACAAAAATACAACAGTATTGAATAGTGTCTCAACGACAATATTTTAAAAGTTTAATTTTGCCGGCAGTAAAATTTTTTAAAAGTGCTCTGAAAACATGACAAACTAACATATTTTATAGGAGACTAAAAAAATAGTTTCTTTGGGCCACCCCAATGTACATGCGAATACAGGCTTGTTTTGAACCTAATAAAGTTAAAAAAACAACCTGTTATTTCAAAAACGAATGTTTATAGATATTTTTCATATTTCCGCTTAATGAAACCGACCTTAAATTTTCGTGCAATATAACCCTGTATATAATGATATTTAAATTTTTAACAGGTAAAACATTGTCGTAAACTTTTTTAACTCAAAAAGATACAGGATAAACCTAAACCATTATGCCATAATTATAAACAAAATGGGAAAACAACAACTCCCATCTAGATATCTTTTTAATCTTTTTAATAAAAAAATTATTAAAATTTTATAAGTAAAGTAGAAATTTTGGGCTGCCACTGGTTGTTCCTGACTTTTGACAACTAACGCAAAATATGCTTTTCCCGTCGATTTTAAATTTTTCCTTTTACTTTTTACCTCGATTGATGCTCATCTAGGTATTTTTTTAAGTAAAATTATAATAAATGTTCAACTAACCCGCCGTTATTATCCACACAAAGTTGACAGCGGCGTAGAAAATTATGATGTGTCGCTCTTGCTATCATATCCGGATGATTTCGTATTTCATCTGCCGCTGCAGTGACAAGTTCACAGAGTTGTTCTTATGTGTTAACTTTGCTCTGGTACAATAAACTGTTTATGTATTCCCCCAGAAACAAAAATAACAACTGATTTTGAATAAGTTTAAAAAATTGTTTGATATTTTTTTTTATTTATTGAAAAATAATATCCAATTAGCCAAAATGGGCTTTGACAGATATGTAATTTACAAATAAATTTAAAATTAACATTTAGCAATAAATAATTAAATTATACATGGGTCATTTATAAATTATTTGAAGTTGGCTATGTACACTAATCTTTGTCCTTGGTCGAATAAATTAAATCTTTATAAATAATTAACAAGTATCTACCTATGTACACTAGTTTTCTTGTCTTTGGTCCACTAAATATTGCATGACGCTCTTAACAAACTCTATTTCATTTTGCTGTTTGATCTCATTTGGTAATTTGTTGTATATTTTGATGCCTTCTGTAAGTATTCGTTTTTCGCCTATTTTCATTTTATGTGCGCATAACTGTTTCTTTTTTGCTTGTGTGAATAATATTATTGTCTTAGAGGTAAAACAATGAAGATATGTAGGATATGTGAGTGACATCCAGTGGCTCCCTGGTTTTGACAAAATAAAATCATAATTTTTTATTAAAAAACAGTAGCTCTAATGCAAAATTGATAGAGAAAAAACTCTCTTG